CAAGGGCTTGATGTTCTTGAGAAACAAAGCTATTTTAGCAAACTTATAATCAATCTCATTAATCACTGAAGAATAGTTCATTGACCATCCCAACCATGACTCATAGGTATTTTTGTATTTTAGAGGAAGTACTTGAGAAAATAGTGATTATCACATGGAAGTGTTCTGCTGCTTTGAAATTAAGATTAAGGACTTCTAAAGCCTGTCATATTGAAAACATGGTATAAGTTTGATTTAGTTTGTAAATACCTTATACGACTCTAGATTTCTTATCAGCTATGACTAAGATGAATCTCTAACTATTTTGACTTCCTAATCTCAGCCAATACTATGTATCTCCACCTAAATTGAACTTGAAAGCCATGCCAGATTATATTGTTGCTTCTGATTTGGTGGAATCTGAGTCTGCGGAACAGCAGAATCCTTTTACTAAGCCCTGCTAGAACTTCTGACCCACAGAATCAGGAGATGTCATAAACTCAAATGTATATTTGTTTGTTAGATGAAGCAATAAGTAACCCACATAGCTGGTTCTTTCTCCAACTTCATTGTCTGTTTTTAGGAGTAGTAGCCAAGTGGCAGGGACGGTGAAGATCCTTACTCCTTCTCAAGCCTATTATGTACTTTGTACCTGCTTTTCCAAAAGCACAGCATCTTCTTTTCTGGTTTCAAAGCTCAAACCTGCTCTTAGAAAAACTATTCTATTTCTTTTTCCCATCTGGAAGATGTCTTCCACTCTTAACTCTTAGTTTCTTTTCCAGGCCAGAGAGGAATAATGGGTGATGACCTAGAGTGTCTTTCTTTAATCATAAGACTTAAGATTCAGTGTCAGTATTACTTGATATTTTTAGTGCTCAATATTTGTACCTGTGCCCCAGCAAGCCACAGCTACTCATTGTTCCGCTCAGACTCTTCTCTCCCTTTTTCCTCATGCCCTTCTGCCTGAAATATTCTTTCTCCTATTTCCGTCTGCTACAAACCTTCTAGTCCAAGCTCAGCCCAAAAATTCAACTTCTGTGAATACTTTTCCCACCCTACAATATGTCACTTCCTCCTCTGTATCATTCTTCACATCCCTCTTACTAAGTGGGTCACTTCGTGGCACGGTTATATATAACAAAGTGTGATGTTTCCCAGCCCTGTGCCTTCTTTATGATCACTGATATTTTTAAGTCTGCTGTTGTGACTAATGTGTCAATCCATCCCCCTTGAGGGGTTTCCCTTGTTCATACTGACTCTCTACTAACTAAACGTGATGTCCTTTGTTAGTAATTGGTCTTTTCTGATGACATGTCCCAAATAAGTGAGCTAAAGTCTCACCATCCTTGCTAATAAGAAGCAGTCTGGTTATATATATATATATTTCCCACCCCCATCCCAAGATTCTTTTTTTTATTATTATTTGTATGTGTGTACTGTCAAATCAGATCTGACTGGTACAGGAGTAGATTGTTCCAGCAGAGCATCTGGTGGATTTGAACTGCGCACCTCGGGGATTGCAGTGCAGCTTCTTGTCACTAGGCCACCAGAGCTCCCCACCAAGATTCTTAAGATACCCCTAAGGTATTCCTTTTTGTTCCTGGAAATTCATCATAGAGTTCATATTCTTTGTCAGCATCACGGTTAAAATGCATCAGTTCTTCTGCCTTTCCTTTTCTTGTCTAACTTTTTGCATGTGTATGAGACAATTGAAAAGGCTGTGGCTTGAATTCTCCTTGCTTCTTCTATACAGAATTTTGTACATCCCTCTGTTATAGCCCAAATCACATATCCTTTCTGGTTTATGAAACTGTCTCCTGCCCCCCCTAGAATTTGAACTACTCAAAGCCAAGGACAGTTATGTTACTTTTAATCCCTGGTGTCTACTACCTAATACATGGTAAGTAGTGAATGAATGAGTGTGTAAGTGAAAATAAGTGAATGATTCTGTCTGCTTAACCATAAGGAAAGCCTAAGGTACTGCTTCCAAATGCTAGTCATGGGATACACCCTGAGAAACGAAAAGCCATTCTTTTAACCTGCTAAGGCTAAAATTGAAGGGAACTCAGAAAGGAGTTCTGTTGCCAACAGAAAGGCATGCAGTTTGAGTCCTCCAGGTGCTCCATGGGAGAAAGATGGACAGTCTCCTACCATGTGAATTATAGCCTCTGAAACCCACTGGAGGGTCAGCTATGAGTTGGTTCTGACCTGATGGCACACAGCAACAAGCTAAAATATAACTTGATTAGAATCCCCACCAGCACATTAGCTCTAAGAGCTCATTTAGCTTTATTCAGCTGTCTGGTAAAATTTTTTGAAGCGTTATCTATATGAAGTCAAATTGTCAAATAATAACTCTAAAACATAGCTGCGTTTTGGGAATTAATTAATTTAAGTGGCAATGAAATAAGATGACTAGAAAGAGTAAGAATGATGATGCAAAATTAAGAATGTAACCAATAGTATTGACTTGTACATGTAAAAATTAGTAAATGAATGCATGTTCTTCTGTGCATATTTTTATTAAAATTAAAAGAACAAACAAAAATCCCAAATGATCTAAAACCAAACCTAATACCATTGAATTCATTCTGACTCTTCGTAACCCTTAGGACAGAGTAGAACTGTCCGTAAGGTTTCCAAATATATAAATTTACAGAAACAGACTTGTTTCTCTTCTATGATGCAGCTGATAGATTCAAACTTCCAGCCTTTTGGTTAGCAGCCAGATTCTTTAACCATTATGCCTAGGACTCTGAAAGTTAGAATATTTTTAGTATATGTGCTGCTGAAGTGACCACAAAATATTAGAATATTTTTAAAAGCTACCAAATACATAATTACCTGGTTCTCCTCTATGTTTAGTCTCAAAATTTATCAAAATGAAAGGGGTACTACAGATCTGAATATTTTATTTGATAGAAACTTTGCCTTAAAGGGAGATAAAAAGCACTATAATATTGGATTCTAATTAACTATATGCATTTAAAAGCACATTTACTGAAGTCTGTACCAATAACAGTTGGTTACTATTTACCCATTTTAGGAGATAGCATATGATCAGTAACTACTAGTACTGATGGGTGAAATTCCAGCCACACTGAAGACACTGCAGGGCTCTAGGAACTGACAGATTATTCATTGAGATGTGCCAACCAATAAATGCAATTCTAGAAGCCTTTTTCCATCTATGTCAAGAAATTTGGAAAACAGCTCCCAATTGGAAGAAGTCCATATTCCTAGCTATTCTAAAAAAAAAAAAGACAAGCACACAGAATACAGAAAATATCAAGCCCTATCATTAAGATCAAATGCTAGCAAAATTTCACTGAAGATTATTTTTAAATATCATCTCATCCCAGTGAGAATAGCAAAATTTAATAGAACAGCAAACAACAAATGCTGGCAAGATTGCAGAGAAACTGGAGCCCTTATTCATTGTTGGTGGGAGTGTAAAATGTGCAACCACTATGGAAGGCAGTATGACGCTTTATCAAAAAGTTGGAAATAAAAATACCATTTGATCCAGGAATTCCACTACTGGGAATTTAACCTAAAGAAACCATAACCACCACCCAAGCAGATATATGTACACCCATGTTTATTGTGGCTTTGTTTGCAGCAGCAAAGAGCTGGAAACAATCCAAGTGCTCATCAACAAACGAATGACTAGAGCAGCTTTGGTATATTCACACAAGAGAATACTATGCTGCATTAAAAAACAAGGAAGTCATGAAATATTACACAAAATGGGTGACGCTGGAGGACATTATGCTGAGTGAAATATCCCTTTTAAACAGTTTTCTCCCTTATCTGTTTCAATGAGGTATACATTATTGAACCCATCTTTCTCAGTCTCCCCCCAACCCCGAGGTTAGTCCTGTTTTACAACAGTGGCACCATGCAGTATTTGTCCTTTTGTGACTGAGATACTTCACTCAGCATAATGTCCTCCAGGGTCACCCATTTTGAATAATATTGCATGAGTTCCTTGTTTTTCAAGGCAGCATAGTATTTCATTGTGAATATAGCACAGCTTCTCTATCCATTTGCTTGTTGATGGGTGATTAGGTTGTTTCAAACTCCTTGCTATTGTGAATAAACAGTGTTATCTTATGTTTTAGTTAAATAAATACTGCATTAAATGCTGAGTCATTGCTTTTTGTATTACTTTGGTGTAGATTTAACTTAAATTATTTATGTGTCCCAGTCAATGAAAAATCTGGGACCATCACCTTTCAGAATTTATACAGAAAAGTGTGCTGAGTAAGCAGTAGCCATTATATCTGTGGTGATGATGATTTGATTTGATTTGATTTGATCATAAGCACTTTTATAATATTCATATTCCATCCAATGAGGTTCATATGTCCAGATACATTATATGTTGTTGGGAAAAGGTATTTTCGATGAATAAGCATTGATGTTGCAAAATTCTATCATGAGATTTTTGGTGACATTTCTTTTACCAAGCTATATTTTCTAGCTACTGATCCTTCTTTGTTTCCAAATTTTTCATTCAATCACCAGTAGTTATCAACACATCGTTAATACATGTCTGATCAATTTTAGTGACAGAAACCAGTGAAAATCTTCAGCATCCTCAATGTTGGCAGAAATATGAATAATAGTCATATTCTTTGGGGGTTACAGTCATTAATAAGTCATCCTGCTAAAGCTTATTTGTGGTACTCAGAATACTTATTTTAAATGTGAAGTAGCATAACAACAATATGTTTGCTTGCCTTTCAGAGGTAATTTGTGTAATGATTAGTAATTTATCAGTAAAATTATCAGTAAAATTTGTTTGTAGTCTATTGTTTCATCCAGGAATAAGTTCTGCTGATACAAGTCAACTTTAACCAATAGATTGGTTAAATCACTTTTTTGAAATGAGTTTAGTTTAAGTAAATCATAAGAATGAGATTTTCCTACGTATGAAGTTTACTAAGATGATATTGTTTAATACTATGATGTGAGACTTTAAGTTTAAAATTTTTTTTTCTCTCTTGTCTGTATAGGAGGCAGACAGTGGGGAGGAGGAATGTCGGTCACAGCCCAGGAGGTATGTTTGTTCACTATAACCTGTAGCATTTTTCTAGTTGCTGGGACTTTTCTCTGATTCTTTTTCAATATTGTCAAATTAATTTCTCTTCATTTTCCAAAATATTCCACAGACTCTAAAAAATGAGATTATTCTAGGGAGCCAGTTACTGACCTGAAAAGACTTAAAATGTAAAACTTGACATTGAGGTGATATCATTCCTTAAAAATAAAATTCATGGCAACGTCTTGTTTGTCAGAGAACTGTGTTCTACAGGGTTTTTCAGTGGCTGATGGTGCATCTCCAAGGTTTACCTTCCCAGGTGCTGCTGGGTGGATTCAAGTTGCCTCCCTTTTGATTTAAAATTGTAGCTTGCTTTGTAAAGCTGCACATAAGCCAGTTTAGCCTAGTTTTGAGAAATATTTTCTTACCTTTTAGGAAAAAAATAGCTGACAAATATTTTAGCTTTGTACTTATATTTGTCCTTAATTTCAAATATTTTGTCTGTTGTTGCTCAATGTTTCATATCCTAAATACGAAATAGATGTTGAATAATCGTCCCAATCCTTTAAAAATTAAGTTCTTTCCACCCCACCCCACCCCCGCCTCCTTTTCGTAGAATTAGTAGGTTACTGTAATGATACCAATACTTGCTGCCGTTAAAAGAAAACAGTTTCAAGAGAAATTCCTCTTTTCAAATTTTTTTTCCAGAGAAACTGTTTCCCATAAGAAACACTTCAAAGTCCTAGATAGTCATTTAAATGTTGCCAAACTTCTGTCTAGTGAACCTGGTACTGAAGTATTTTTAAATGTCACCAGTATGCGTCTTAATTTTTTTTCTGCTAAGTGAGCATAGTGAAAAGGGAGTCCAAGCTTTTGCTATGCAAAGAAAGAAAGAGCCTTACTAAGGAAAACACTTTGCCAAGGAAGACTACTTTGCATAGGGATTTGTGGAGGACAGAGCGATGCTAGCCCACAGCTCACTGAACAAAAGAATTGTGTGCATTTATAAAGCTTTAGGTGTGAAAGAGCTTAATATTTATCCATAAGGGAAGGTGTAGAATCTCAGGAAATGACCCCTATAGGAAGGGTGTGATTATTAAATTCATGCAGCTGCTTCTCCAAGTTGGACACTGTCTCAAAGGCTTCTGGGTCAATAGCTAGAGCTAAGTGTAGGGTAGTGCGCATGCACTATGTGCCGAGGTCCTCTGGTTAATGCCCCTGCCTGGTAGAAAGCTTCGCTTCTTGCTTGTGAAGGTCAGCTCTGAGTCATGAATGACTGGTAGAAAGCTTCGCTTCTTGCTTGTGAAGGTCAGCTCTGAGTCATGAATGACGTTTCTGTGCATGTTCCATAAACAGATTCAAATAGATTTCACTTTAGACCAAGTTTTCAGGCCATTGATGTATAGAGAACAATGTCTTCTCACAAGGGAGGGTTAGCAAAGGAGTTAAGCCTCAAAGTAAGCCTTAGTCCCTTATCTCTTCAACTCCCCAAATTGAGTTTATTCTGGATGATAGAGAAAAGCTACAAAGAACATGCTAATTATGTTGTTGTTGTTATTGATTGCCTTCAAGTCAAGCATGACTTATATCAATCCTATGAACAAACCTATGAAACCTCCAGTGCCCCAGTAACTGTATCAAACTGGGGTCTCCCTCTCCTGCGCTGTCCATCCACCCTTCCGTGATATCCTTCTCCAAGGACCAATCTCTTCTGCCCACGTGCTCAAAGTGAGGTGGAGCTTCAAAAGCCTAGCCTTCAAGGAAAGACTTGTCTTCACTCTCTCCAAGACAGACCTATTTGTTTTCTTGGCAGTCCATGGTATGTTCAAGACTCCTCCAGCACCACAACTCGAAGGCACCTATTCTTCTTCTGTCATCCTTAGTCATTGTCCAACTTTCTGAAGCGTAACAAGTAATTGAGAAGATCATGACCTGGATTAGGCACACCTTTGTCTCTAGACTGACATCATTCAGACTGCTCTTCAGCACTCTGGAGAGGTCCGTGACAGCAGATTTTCCCAATGCAATTTCTCTTTTGATTTCCTGACTGCCCGTGTTAAGAGTGTTGATTGTGGATCTGAGCAAGCTGTAATTGCTAACAACCTCAATCTCTTCTTTAATAGGAGGGCCAATTCTTACATTTAATATTTGCCAAGCAAGTTCTAAGTCCAGTTGTTTTAATCTGACTCAAAGCAGATAAATTTCTCTCAACTGCCCATGTGTGCCTCTTATAAATAGGGTGTAAAAGGCTAATATTTGTGGATTTGGCTGCTACAGATTTCCTCACTGTCTGCAACATTTATCATCCAGTAAACCAACGTTAAGTTAGTAGTGTCTGTTCATTGAGCATGTCTGAACTCATCTCAGCAGTCTGCAGGCTCAGATGTGGCTTGTAGTAGGAATTTGAATAGCAAACAGCATATCATTAAAATTAGATGCCAGTTCTAGGTCATTAAAAAGGCCCTGCCTAGCAATCTCTTCTTTATCCACTTGGCATTTATTGGGAAAGTTACAGCTTAAAATTAATCTTTCTGTCTAATTAGCCTAACCTGTGATACTTTTGGGAGCCCTAGCGACACAGTTCCATAGGTACTGTGATGCTGATCTCTACAGGTCAGCAGGTAGAATCCACCAGTTCTCTGGGAGAGATGGACAGTCTCCAGACAGTCTCCTCCCATAAAGATTTCTAGCTCAGAATGCTGATGGGGAGGATTGCGCGGCATCAGAATGGACCTGCTGGCAGTGACCTTGTTTGATGATTGTTGTTGTTGTTATGTGCCGTTGAGTTGTTTGCGACTCATAGCGACCCCATGTACAACAGCCCTAAACCGTGCTCTATCCCGTGCCAATCTCATTGCCTCTGACACACCCATCCTGATTACCCCAGTCACTGAATCAATCCACCTCATAGAGGGTCTTCCCCTCCTGTGCTGTCCCTCTACCCTACCCAGCATGATGTCCCTCTCTAAAGACCTGTCTCTCCTTACAACATGTCCAAAGTATGTCAGACGAAGCCCCAGAATCCTTTCCTCAAAGGAGCAGTCTGGTTTAACCCTTTCTACGATGAATCTGTTTTCTTGGCAGTCCATGGTACAAACCTATGTTTGATGATACCATTTAAAAACTGATGTAATCATGTTACATGATCCTTTTTTTAATGAGATTTTAAAGAAAGTATATAGAGAACTTGGATTTTCATTCATTCATTGTTGCATATTTTCCTCCCTGCCCCTCCTCCCCCCGCCCCAGTTCACTTTTCTCTTTGAAAAGAAAAAAATTCTTTCATTGTTATATAACCACACCCCCAAGTCCACTTGACTATGCAGCTCTTATTCTGGACTCTTGTCATGCCAATAATACCTAATCATATAGTCCTTTTATACAGTTCTCTTCCTCTTCTGTTTCAATGTCATGTACATTGTTTATCCCCTCTTTTCTTAGCTTCTTCCCAACCCCAATGTCAGTCCCATTTTACAACAGTAGCACTATGCAGTATTTGTCTTTCTTTGACTGAGATATTTCACTCAGTATAATATCCTGCAAGGTCACCCATTTTGTATAATATTGCATGAGTTCCTTGTTTTTTCAGTGCTGCATGGTACTCCATTGTGTGACTATACCACAGCTTCTCTATCCATTCATTCGTTGATGGGCACTTGGGTTGTTTCCATCTCTTTGCTATTGTGAAAAAAACAGCAATAAACGTGAGTGTGAATATATATGCTTGGCTGGAAGTTCTGGTTTCTTTAGCGTATATTCCCAGTAGTAGACTTGCTGGATCAAATGGTATTTCTATTTCCAACTTTTTGAGAAAGCGCCATATAGCCTTCCACAGTGATTGTACCATTTTACACTCCCACCAACAGTGAATAAGGATTCCAGTTTCTCCACAACCTCACCAGCATTTGTTGCTTGCTGTTCTGTTAAATTTTGCTATTCTGACTGGGGTGAGATGATATCTCATAGTTGTTTGGATTAGCATCTCTCTTAGAGCTATGGATTTTGAACATTTCTTCATGTGTTTGTTAGCCATCCGAATGCCTTCTTTGGTGAAGTGTCTGTTCATATCCTATGCCAATTTTTCAGTTGGGTTGTTTATCTTGTTGTGGTGCTCAAACATTCTATAAATTCTAGATACTAAGTCCCTTACCAGACATGTCATTACGAGATAGATTTTCCAAGTCTGTGGCTTCCCTTTTTACCCTATTGGAGAAATTTTTGGATGTGCATAGGGATTTGATTCTTAGAAAGTCCCATTCTTCTATTTTATCCTCTCCTGGTTGTAGGTACACAATTCTTTTTGTAATGCTTAAATTCCAACAGTATTTTGTTCTCAGAGGATAGGTATTAAAAGAAAATTTTAAATCAGGTTTTATATATGAAATTAACTTTTTAGTGAAAAGCTGTCGGGTCAGAATTGACTCATAGCTGACCTTTCAGCAGGTTTTCAGAGACAGTAAATCACACAGGAGACTGTCCATCTTTCTCCCATGGAGTAGCTGGTGGATTTGAACCATGTGTCTTGGATGTTGCAGTACACCGTATTACCCCAAAGTCACCAGAGCTCCCTAAGAGATAGATAGTGAAAAGCTAAATAGATGAAATTAAAATTTATTCTTCTTGTTAGAGCACCATTCGTTTACTCTGTAGGAAGTTGTGCTCCTAACCCAAAAGCCACTCCTCTCTGGTGGTTCAAATCTACCAGCTGCTCCTCAAGAGAAGGAGCAATCTCCTGTGTCAATCTCCTGTGCAATTTACAGCCTCGGAAAACCAGTGAAAAGTCAGCTAGGACTTAGTTCTGACTTGACAATTGTTGAGTTTGAAGGATTTTTTTTTTTTTTTAAATTTTTTTTTTTATTTTATTATTTTTGTGTGCGTGTACCATCAAATCAGATCTGACTGGTACAGGAGGAGATTGCCCCTCCTTCCCCGGCAGAGCATCTGGTGGATTTGAACCGTGCATCTCTGGAATTGTAGTTGCAGCTTCTTGCCACTAGGCCACCAGAGCTCCCCCAGTT